CTCAAGCTCTTGCTGGTGGCTATTTTGGCTATGTGTTGGGATGTGTTAGCTTTTACTCTCTAAGTTTCAAAATATAACCTGTAGAACAAAAAAATTCTAAATCTGCCATGTGACCATTACACAAATTTCGGAAATTTTCATGATTTAGGAAATACAAACCTTATAAAATTGGCATGTGACAAAATGGAAAAGAATGTAAAAAAATTCCATGATTTAGAAGAAAAAAAATCCTAACATTGCATTGTGACCAATACAATTTTGCCATGGACGAGTAGTAACAATTTCAGAAATTTGTCATGCTTTATAAACATAACATGGCAATACTTGTTTATGAATTCATGGATATCATTACAAAAAATATATATCAAATTACCATGTTTTAGGAAAGACAATTGTATAAAATTGCCATGTGACAAAAAAAAGAAAAATTATCAAATTTGCCTGGATATAGAAAACAAAAAATGTATCCCTAAGATTGCCATATGACCAGTACATTTTCCCCTAAATTTGCCATATTTTAGTAAAAGAAATATTTTTGAATTTTTCCAGGTCTTTCATAATTTACCATGTCACTTTACAAAAACAAATGCCATGTTTTTTAGAACATTTTCTCGTAATTTTGCCATGGACCGGAGCTAACAATTTCAGAAATTTGCCATGTTTTGTAGATGACATGACAAAACTTGTATAAGAATTCAGGGATACACATGGCAAACTTTAGCAAAACTTTCCTATAAAACATGGCAAACGTATGATTACAAAGATGAAACTGGAAATCCATGCCGCATTTGTAAGGATGTGGAGATAAAACTCCACCATTCAATCTTTTGACAGGAGTTTTGCACATTGTTCAACTCTGCTACCGATGCCACATAGAACACCCAAAAAAATGGAAACGTGTGTGCGTCAAGATCCGTGCGCTCGATCTAACGCCCACCGAGCGTTTTGCGCGAAAAACGATCTGAGCGGACGTCGGAACTATATCATTTTGGTTCGGGATCTTTAGGCCTCCTTTGGTTTGTAGGATTTTTATAGGAATTCTATAGGATGAGATTTGCAAAGGAAAATTTTCTTTAAAGCCCTTCGGTTTGTAGGAACGGATTCCTGTTCCTATATAGGATAGGAATCAATCCTTCACATTTTGAAGGAAAAAAACATTAGCCCAGACTCAATGAAAAAAATCCTACCCTATGAATCAAATGACATCTCTTTCTCTATAAGAATTGACATGCATGTTACCTCATTTTCTATAATTTTCCTATTCCTATAAAATTCCTATCCTATGAACCAAAAAAGGCCTTATTGTGCGCCTAGCCGTCATCCTAAATTTGTAATCTCGTAACGTGCGGATAACGCATGTATCAGATCAACATTTGTGGTGTTTGCAGGGATCGCGGTCCATGTGTTTCTTATGCGCGACGGGTGACAAACATCCGATGCGGCCATTGTTCTTACGCTCGGCGCGCGTCACCTGTTGCACTCAAATTCGCTCTTTGGATTTTGCGTGCCACGTAGACTCAGGACTTTAGTGGCAAAACACTGTCGACATCTATCTTCGTGTCATGCGTGCATTATGGTGTTTTGGACTTTGGACTTGTGTGACAAGCACGACATGCCGCTAACGTTCGGTTTGCTTAACTTAATTTGGAAGAAGAAATTATGACGAGCTTCATCTTCAAAGTGACTTTCGCTCCCGATTTCCCACGTGTTTTTCATTTTGTTTATATTTGTATAGGCGTATTTGGAGGGGTAAAAGTGGTATTTCCTGAGCCGCAGCATGATCTTTTGAAACACAGGTTCCACAATGAACTCATTCAGGTAGAGTGCTCTGAAACACGCCTCCCGTCTCGTTATTGTTTGTTTGTCAGCTGTTGAAGACGCCACTTTTTGTGCAGAAAAACACTTTTTTTTGCCCTAAATTGTACTCCCTTCATTCCAAAATAGATGACCCTATTTTATACTCTTTCCTAAATGTAAGTCTTTCTAGAGATTCCATTATGAACCATATACGGATGTATATAGACGCATTTTAGAGTATAGATTCACCCATTTTGTTTCGTATGTAGTCACTTGTTGAAATCTCTATAATGACTTATATTTAGGAACGGAGGAAGTACTAAATTTATACTAAAGTTAATACAAAATTGGATCACTTATTTTGAACGAAGGGAATACATGAACAATTTTTTCATGCCGTCAAATAGGGTAATTATCAGAAATGCTCTAACGTACATATGCATGCTGGTAATGAAAGTTACTTTCCAATGACCAGCATAACGCATGTTTCACGTTTGCAGGGATTGCGATCGAATTGTTTCTTAAGCGTGACGGCTGACAAACATCCGACGCGGTTATTGTGATTACACTAGACGTTTCCTTCGTAAGTACTTCCTTCGTAAAGAAATATAAAAGCGTTTTGATTGCTATAAAGTACGGAGGAAGTATTTGTACTCCAAACAGTTGGGTTTTGTACACTACGTGCTGGCACAATACACTGTCGCATCTATTCTATCATCGTGTCATGGAAGCCAAGTTTTTGCGTACCGGTCAGCTCTTTGTACTTGTGTGACAGGTACGACACATTCGGTTTGCTTAACTCATTTTGTCGCAAAGACTTTCGCTCCCGATTTGCTCGTGCACTTCATTCTTTTTCTTTGTAGATAGAACACGTGTATTTGTAGGCGTATTTTGAAGATGTGTTGAGTGACATGAAAGTGACATTGCGTGAACCGCCAGTCGATCGGCAGCATGATCGATCAGTGAGCGCAGATTCCAGAGTGACCCCATTCGGACTGGGTAGAGTGCTCTGAAACACGCCTCCCGTCCCGCATCTGCAGATATACTTTTTTTAAGAAAAGGTTAAACTCCCGGTCTCTGCATCAATCGATGTATGCAGTCATCTTTATTAATTATTCAATAAAGATTTAAAAAGCAAATACGTCAATTCATCTGAAGTCAGCACTCACACCTACAAACTCGATAATGTAAAGTGCTCTTATATCTAAAATTGGTATCGTCGTCGATCCATGCCGAAACTGGCCGCCGCCGCCCCGCGTCACTGCCGTAGGTCTGGCGGGCATGGACCGCTGCCCCCCCTAACCGGATCTGGCTGAGGAGAAACACCGCCGCCACCACTGCCGCACACAGACTTTGCATGTGAGTCCTCCGGCGGCGGCGGTAGGGGAGATGGCGTTGGAGAGGACCGGAGGAAGAGGAAGGGGGCGGGGGCGCTACGGTGCGGCGTGGCGGCGCCCCACGGGAGCGGGAGCGGGGTAGGGTTAAGGAGCCATCTGCAGATGTCCTGACGTGGCAATAATACAGATGGACGTAACATGAACGGATGTTGATCGTCGTTGAAAATCAACATAATACTAAACTACCAATGGTCCGCATCTGGGCATAGATCAGACATGAATTACTATTAAAATGTTGAACCAAGGAAAAGAAATTACTAAAACGAAAACGACCCGTACGAAGGATGATGCTTCCGCCGGTCAACCCTGCGTGCATGACTCAATCTGCAATGCAGTGTGCGATACGGCAGCACCAGGAACGCTAATCCCAGTGCATCTGCAAGCATTGGCATCTTCGCAACGAGGCCACAGACCAGTAACTATTTACTACTAGCAGTAGTAGGACAGTCCTACCGAAGCACCCCGTTTTACAAATTTGGTTGCCATGCGTGCGGAAAGATGAACCATGTGCCGAATGCGATTCAGATGTTACAGTCTAATAATCCCAAGAAATGCTACGACTAGTTAGTTAGATGCCTTTTTCTTTCCGAAAGAGTACAACCATGTCCCTTTTCCCCATCTTTTCCCCGTGTAGCCATGTGGATTCGGAGACTATTATCCCTCTCCTTTTCCACTCCCATTTTCCTTCCCAGTTTGTGTAGTACAAATCATCACCAACGGAGCTCCTCCCTCGGTCAATCCCCTAACCATCTTCCATCATTTTTCCTTCACCCCTCCAATCTCCTCCACCGAGAAGCTCCTGTCCCCTGCTCCTCGCCTTTCTCCGTCGCATCATCACAGATCCTGTTGCGCACACACAATACTCTTCTCCCAATTGACCATATCTATCTACCCATCCATCCCATAGCATTGCATCACCTCCACTTCGCTCTCTTTCGCTTCACCTGCGTCTGCGTGAGTGCGTGTCTCGGTCGCCGTCTCCGTTTCCTAGCCGTCGGCCTACCGGCGGCAGAAAAGACAGCAGCCAAGCAAAGCCAGCCCGCTCGCCGCCGCGGACCGCGACGACGACCGTCTCGGGCCGTTCAACCCAAGCCCCGCCCCTGCCCCGCGCGGCCTCGTGTCTTTCCTGCGGCATTCGTGGTTGGAGTGGTTGGGCGGAGCCCGCCCCCGCCCCCGCCCCGTGCCCCGCCTGCCGATGGTGACGGCCGCCGGCGTAGCGTGTCGCGGCGCCATGAAGGGTGAAATTTTATATACCATCGCCCCGGCTGAGGCCTGACAACCCAACCAGATTTTAGGTAGTTACCTCTGTCGCTTGCCGCCCGCTGCCCGCCTCCCCCCCTTCGCTCCGCCACATCTTCCGCCCGCTCGAACTCCTAGCGGTAGGATATATCTGCCGCTTCCCCCTGGCTCCTTGCGCTTGTACTGTATCTTCCTCCTCCCCGGTCCGTCGGTTCATCCCCCTCGCCCCCTACTCCCCTTTCGGCTCGAGTTAGATCATCCATCGGCTGTAAAGCGGGCGGGAGGCTTGGCTTCCGCGCGCGGGACGGGGCTCGCTTTCCGGGAGGCCGCCCCTGCGACGACAGCCGCGCCATTTTCTATTCCAGCGGAGGGAGGGGGAGGTTCCGGGTCGTAGTGGTGCTGCATTGGCTGCGGTAAGCGGGGCTCGTATCGGCCAACGGGGGAGGTCCACGGCGGTTAGTAGTTGAGCCGCCGACTGCGTGCTGTGGCGAGTGTTATCTATCGATCGCCATGGGGGGCAAGTGTGGTTCCTGGTGATTCTCTCGAGCTGCCACTGGTGGGGGGAGCATGGCGGGGGAGGGCGTCGGGCGGTGCATACTGGTGGGGCTGCACATGGACGCCGTCGGCAAGGAGCTTCTGCAGTGGGCGCTCAACCAGGCGGCCAGGAGCGGCGACCGCGTCGTCGCCGTCCACATTTACCGCAAATCCGGTAGGTACCCTGCCCCCTATCCCATCTCCTGTCCGTCAAAAACCTTTGCTTGCGTTGCAGCTCGACTCATGGCAGCATTTCCCTGTGCCTCGAATCGAAGGAGACCTGTGCAAGACGAACGCGCTGACGCTGATCAGGACGCTGGACGACTACCTGGCGGAGTACGAGGCCATCTGCAGCAAGAAAGACGTGCGTAAGCAAGCAAGCACGATGCCTTCACCGCCATTAATGTCGCTGGCGGTTGCGCTCATGTGCTGGTATTGATGGTATGGTTTCATGTCCGTCAGATCGTCCTCGTGGGGCGGGTCACGCCGGGGAGCTCGATCCAGAAGGTGCTGGTGAAGGAGGCCAAGCTCTGCGCGGCCATGGTGGTGGTGATCGGCGCCAACAAGAAGTACTCCTTCGGGTCAGTCAGTGCCGATGCTCACCTCTCACCTCCCAGCAGCAGCAATCTTGGCGTGATCCAACTGTTTGTTTTCTGCACGATTCATTAACGCACACACCAAAAGTAATCGATTATTTTACCTGTGTGCTCGATCAGTGGCTCGACCGGCCTCGCCAAGTACTGCGCCAGGAAGCTCCCGGCGACGACCAGCGTCGTCGCCATCCAGGGCGGCAAGGCCATCTTCGTCAGGGAGGCCCCCCGGCCGCCACTTGGTCAGTAGAGTACTGACTCCCGATGTTAGCTGCGAATTGATTTCGGTTGGTGAGTGGGTGATTGATTGACGGATTAAAGCGTTGGGTGGCTTCGTTCGTCGTCCTGCAGGAGCAGAGCCCAAGCCGGTGCTCCGCACGCTGCTGCACCCCAGCGTCGGCATGGAGCCCAAGGTGATCATCCCCAACCCCAACCGCCGGAGCGCGCGGTCCATGGACTTCGACGCCACGGGCTGCGGCCAGTGCGCCGCGCCGCCGCAGCCCAAGAAGCCCTGCGACGACCACGACGCCGCCGACGCCAAGGCCCTCGTCGTGCGCGTGCCGGCGCCAGAGCAGAAGCTCGGCTGGCCTTTGCTCCGGCGCGCGCCTCCCGCAGCGCAGGCCACGACGAGAGACCACGAGACGACGCGCAAGCAGTCGGTGGTGCACTGGGTGATGAGCCTGCCGCGGCGCTCCTCGCCGTCGGCGTCCCCGGAACCGGCGCAGGAGGGGCTGGCGGCCGAGCTGAGGCGGGCGCTCGCCGGCGCGCCGTCCCGGTGCCGGTGGTTCCGGTACGAGGAGCTGTACGACGCCACGAACCACTTCTCCCCCGGCAACCTGGTGGGCAAGGGCGCGCACAGCCGGGTGTACCGGGGCGGGCTGGCGAGCGGGCAGCGGGTGGCGATCAAGCTGTGCCGGGCGTCGGCGGAGGCGTCCAAGGACTTCCTCCGGGAGGTGGACATCATCACCAAGCTGCAGCACGGCCGCATCGTGCCGCTCGTCGGCGTCTGCGTGGAAGGCCCCAACCTCATCTCCGTCTACCGCTACCTCCCCCGCGGCAGCCTCGAGGACAACCTGCACGGTACGCCACCACGCTTGCACACCACGACAAACTACGCTACTGTATTTTGGCTGCGTCGATGGTCTACAGCGGCCTTGGGCATGTGATTTCGCAGGGAAGAAGAGGTCGAAGCCGGCGCTGCCGTGGGAGAAGAGGTACCGGGCGGCGGTCGGGGTGGCCGAGGCCCTGAGCTACGTGCACTCCGGCTGCTCGCGGCCGGTGATCCACCGCGACGTCAAGTCCTCCAACATCCTCCTCACGGACGACTTCGAGCCCCAGGTAGTACTGTGCTCTTAAATTCAGGAATATACAGTTTGTTTGTCTGTGTTTTGTACTGACAGACGTGAACTCTGAACTGTGTACCGACGGTGGCAGTTGTCCGATTTCGGGCTCGCGATCTGGGCGCCGTCCAGCCCGTCGTCCCTCACGCACAGCGACGTCGTCGGCACCTTCGGGTACGTCTTCTTCTTGTACACAGACACGGACGAGTCTCTTTCGGTCTGAAGTGGCGCCGTGTTGGGGTGACGAAGATCAAAATCCTTGCGGGCGCAGGTACCTAGCGCCGGAGTACTTCATGTACGGGAAGGTGACGGACAAGGTGGACGTGTACGCGTTCGGGGTGGTGCTGCTGGAGCTCCTCACCGGGCGGAGGCCCATCACCGGCGACGGCTCACCGAAGGGCCACCACCAAAGTCTCGTCATGTGGGTAAGCCCTCGCGATCCCAATCAAGCCCACATAACCACCTCACTGTGTTACGTTGTTACCATATCATTGTCTTTATAAAAAAACGTTGTTATCATATCATCATGCTCGTGTAGAGAGAGAGGGGTTGTGCTGACGCGGTTGGTCTGTTTGACGTGCGTGACAGGCGACTCCGATCCTCAACGGCGGCGACATCTCCGACCTGCTGGACCCGAGCCTGGACGTGAAGCACGACGAGGTGGAGGTGCGGCGAATGGGCGTCGCGGCGTCGCTCTGCCTCGGGAGGTCGGCGCGCCTTAGGCCCCCGATATCGCAGGTCAGTCTCTCTCTCTTAGTGAGTAGCAGGCTCTTCTTCAGAAGAAGAGGGAAAATACGTCTCTCTCTATCTGAGTAGCAGGCACTTCATCTTCAGAAGAGGAAAAAATAACATTCTCGTGCCGATTGCTGTGTGTTGCAGATTCTGAGCATACTACGAGGAGAAGAGGACGCGACGAGCTTGGCGGCGTCGGAGCCGGACTGCGTGGTGGACGACGAGACCTACCCGGCGGCCAACGTGAGGTCGCACCTAGGGCTGGCGCTGCTGGACGTGGAGGACGCCGAGTCCATCTCCAGCACCGAGCACACCAACCTCAGCCCGCTCGAGGAGTACCTCAGAGAACGCTGCAGCCGATCATCCAGCTTCGATTGACCTTTGATTTTTTTTCCCTTTTCTTCTCCTTTTTGGATGAGTTTGGTTGTCTTTTGTTGAGTTACAAACTCATGTACATAACATAAACAAAGCAGGTGCCACATTTCCGGCACCCAGGGACATGATAGCCAATAGATATGCCACCCACAGAGAAAAAACAAAGTGAAAAATGGAACGGATGCCTTTCAGTGTGCCTGATGCTGTAATTCGGACACAAAGCCACGATTCCTCTCAGTTTATCTGAATGATGTATTCATTTCAGGGGTAACAAGATTGTCATACAACATTACAATAACCTTAAAACTCAAGGTTCAAGGTTGTCCGTAGATCAATTGCTTGGAAACCAAAAATAGATTAACAACACTACAGAAGGTTGCCAAATCCATCGTCCTGGAAAAGAAAAACTAGGAAACAAAGCTGGAAAACTGCCGTGGGGGAACACTATCTCCCACACCGGCACAGCTATCTCCCAACATCTCTTCTACTTCTCATCTAACCTCAGTCTTCCTACACAAACCTAAAAGGGAACAACATATGGCAACTGATACATATGAAGGTCAGGCAGATGAATAGCCCTTGGTTGCCATGAAAACTCCACCTCCATGGGCGCCAAACCATCACTTGCCTTGCAGCTGCTGTTGCTGGCATCAGGTTTCTTTGCACCGCCGAGCAACCAATCCTGGTCGCCGAGATTCCCGGTCTCCTCAACCTCCAAGGAAGGTGGATTCCAGGTAACAAAAAGATCTCGGAATTTCCTCTCTTTCTTCTCTTCCTTCTCAGCCTTGCGGCTCTTCTTACGATCAGACTTTGACTGCTTAACCTCTGGTATTTTTTCAGTCTTCCTGCCAGAGGAACAAGGCTCTTCTTTCGCCAAGGTGCTTGACTGCTGCTGTTTGATGAGGGGAGAGACTACAGGCACCTTCGGTTTGTGCAGAACGGGCTGCAGCTGCCTGTCTGGCTGGTGGGAAGAAGCAACTTTTATTGTTTCCTTCGGCAACACAGGCAAACTCTGTGGAGGAGCATCTCTTCGGAGCACCTTGGATGGCACCAGAGGATCAACCTTTTGCAGCGCCTTTGCAGGAGGAATGTCAATAACCTTGGCAGGAGGAATGTCGACTCTCTGTGCCGCCTTGGCAGGAGGAATGTCGACTCTCTGTGCCACCTTAGCAGGTGGAGGAACAACTCGTCGTGTCAGCTGCGTAGGCAAAGGATCAGCACTTCCTTTCACCTTGGCAGATGAAGGTGTAGCATTAACGGGCACCCAGGAATCTATCTTTTGCATGATCTTTGCTGAGGTTGGGGCATCTATCTTTGGTGTGATCTTCGCTGTGGTTGGGGGATCCACCTTTGGAGCAATATTTGTCATGGAAGGAACTCTTTGCAAGATCATTGCAGGGGGTTTTACATCCATTTGTTTTGGCACAGATTGGGTATCCCTCTTGATGCTTTGCTGGAAACCGGCAGCTGACTTTACCATAACATCCCTGCGAGGTTGAACTGCATTCTGCTTACTCAACAAGGATGAAGGTGTAGCCATTTGTTGGACAGGTTGTTGCGGAAGAACCCTAGAACCATCCAACATGGCTGACGGTGAATCCTGATCTCTTTTTATCTTAATGCGAAGTACCGTCCCTGCAAAATCATAATTCATGGTCAGTAACTCTAGAAGAGAATGATTACTAAAATCAACAGAAACCTAAAAATATGGCCTGAAAGCCTCACCATTCTTATTTTGACTAGGGCCTGGGAGCACCACCTTTCTTCGCTTACTGCTGTCCTGAGAGCTCTCTGGTGATCCATGTACTGTCTGAATGAAAGAAGGGGCCCCATACTCTTCTGAGAGTCCACTCTTCTCCAACTGATCAAATAGTTCTTTGGGTGCAGTTTTGGACTCCAGGCCGGCTATGCTGGTATCTTCATGCTTTCTCTTCTTATGGCTACGTTTTGAATGTTTTGTCTCACCACCACCCTGATGGGAAGCTTTCTTGTCATTCCTTTTCTCTTTCTTCTTTTCGGCCCTTTCCCTTTCTTTCTGGAGCTTCAGCCACCAGATTAATCGTCAGTTCTGATTTAGAACAGACGATGGCAATGCAATGCAGCATATTGCAGTATGGTAATGAAGTTTCAAACTTACACAAGCACACACATAAATAATGCAGCACTAACACAGAAGTGCTACAAGTTACAGTTAGAAATTAATACATGAATCTTTCCACAAATAATAATTCAGTACCCTTGATATATACTCTGTATATTCTTTACACAGTTATAGTAGAGTCAAAGGAATTAGAGCACATCAAAATTGGCACAACTACTAATGACACTACCCAGAAGACGTGTTAGCAAGCAGAGAACAGTTGACAGAAAACATAGCAATTGTGCTGCAAGGAAGTCAATTTTAAGACATCAAATTCCAGAGCAGAGACAGCAAAATAGACCACAAAGAAAACTTTAGACAAGAATACATGTACAACTCAAATGGCAAGTGTCAAGATTGTGAGACTACACACACATGAACAAAAACAAACAAGATAGCAAACAGGACAAGGCAAGTAGCGCCAATAGAACCACACATAAGTGACATCACAAAGTGAGCACACTAATTGGTGGTTAATTGGTGCTGGTAACCGAATCCAAGCAAGAGAAAGCCCAGGAAAATATGAATTTTCTCATTGCTAAATTTGGACGGATCTCCGGAAGTACTTTTCACAGAGAATTTAGTCTCAAAACTAGCAATGCGATTGACAAATCAAGACATCATGGGCGTCAATCTGGGTACAGAATCAATCAATCAAATACTGTAGGCATGTAACAATGAAACTGGAAGGCGCATCTGACAGACCACGTTTTGTTCGCATTCAGGTTATTTCCAATTTAAGCACGCAATCGAGGTTAGCAGGCTCGAGATCGGGCCGCGGGGTTAGGTCAGCAGAAACAGGCAATCGATCTAACCGACGCATCGGCGGCAAGGCTAGCCTCCCCCCGCATGCGATTCCCAAATCGCACGCGCACACCCAACAGATCTGATCGGAACCAACAGGCAAGAACACATGATCCGAGGACGTGCGTGTTGTAAATCCGATGGTTCAACAAACCTTAGCGGTCGTCTCCGCCACGGGAACGGGGGGCACGGCCACTGGGTTTCGCACGTAGCCCGGCGGCGGGTAGGGGAAGCACCTCGACATGGCGGCCGGTGTGAATCCCGCGGCGCGGCGCGCGAACCCTCGGAATCAAGAGCGCGACGGCAAGGCCCGCCCTAATCGACCGCGAACCGAAGGGAAATTTCGATTCGCGGGAGGGAAATCCGGCGGAGCGGATTGGGGCCTCTCGGCGGGAGGGATTTGGCTCTTGTGTGGCGGCTAGGGTTTCACGGGGAGGAGAGGGGAAATTTTAGCGGCGGCTACGCGAGATGGGAACGGAAGAAAAGGGTAGCCTCTTCGAGGGTCCGGGGGTTGGGCGGTATATATAGCCGGACGGGAGGTGCCCGAGTCGTGCGGGGAACTGGCGGGTCCGCCTCGCCTACCTATCGGGCCTCTACACGGAGTCGCTGACGGGTAGGGCCCAGATCCCGCGGGGCCCGGTGGCAGCGAGGGGCGCGGGCGGGGGCCGCCGCGCGGCGATGCGTGTGGGGCACGGCAAGCGGCGCGCTCTGATTGGCCAGGCCGCGCGGTGGCCCACCTAGCGGGGAGCGGGCGGGGGTGGCGTGTTCGCGTTGCACACGAAACGTGTTCGCGTGGTGGGCCCCCCCGCGGCGCGGAACCGACCTAGAAGGTTATATAGATGGTTAAAATTATCAGATTCACTGCCTACTTATGTTAAATTCATGCATGGTAAAATTGCCATGAAAATATAGAGGGTTAAAATTTGTAGAAAATTTTCCATGATTTGGACCATAATAACAAAAGAAAAAAAGCCTATGTGTGGTACGAAACTTCATATTTAAAATTGAGCTATCACGCTTTAGGTCATTAGATATTAGATAGAAAAAACAAAGAGTCTCTCTAGAGCACATATAGATGTGCCCTAGTTATTGCACATCTAAGTGACTAAATCGAGCGCAAAAAAAAAAGAAAAGGAAAAAGTTACCCACATGAATCTCCGCGTAAGATCAATGACATAGAATTTAGATGTGCAATACTTATGGCACATCTATATGTGCTTTAGCAAAACTGAAAAAGAAAATCCAAAAAAAAGTTTTAAGTTAGCATAACAGTGGGGTATGTTTGACCATAAGTTTGCTTTATATAAATGGCATGCATGAGAAACTAAATATGGCATATGTTAAAACATGAAAAGAAAATTAACGATTATGTTTCAACCTAAATTGTCATTGTTTTGTAAAGATGATGGCCAAAAATTGAATTTTTTTTTATGAAAATAGTCTCATGAAACAATTTTGCCATGTGGATATTCAAAAAATAAATTTGCCACGGTGTAAATAATTGAATTTACAATGGTTTGTGCAACATTTTTTCCATGTTCTGAAAATATAATTGACCATGGTCCAAAATATGAATTTTCTATGGTACCAAAAATAAATTTGCCATGGCCAAATATATAAGTTTTCCATGACAGAGAACAAAAAGCAATTTGTTGTGGTCCAAAAAAGAATTGTCGTCGATTGTTTGATATAATTTTCATGTATTGTTAGAAAACATGATAGAGGAAATTTTACAACACATTGTTTGATAAATTTGCCGTGCTTCAAAAAGAAAATTATAAAATGGTTAAAAAGCTTAATTTGTCGTGGTTCATAAAGTATATTTGCCATCGACTGTAAACTAAATTTGCCACAGTCTATAAAGTGAACTTGCCATGGTGCAAAAAAAATTGACATGGTCCAAAATATCATGACAAATTTGATTGCCATGGTACACAAGTTTGCTGTTAGAACTCCAGAATCTGGGGTCCACTAGTTTACAAAATGTAGTTGCCATGTGGCATAAGAAACATTTTTCAAAGTTGCCATGCGTGTGGAACAAAAAATTCATATAGCTGCCATGTGAGCATTAACATATTTTTCTGAAATTTGCCATGAGTGGGAACAAAAAAAATCCTAGAATTGTCATGTGATATTTAAAAATACTTTCTAAAATTGTTGTGTTTTGGAAAAAAAAAGATGTTTCAAAATTGTGACGTGACCATAAGAAACCTTTTCTTTTGGCCATTTGTGGAGAGCAAAAAATCCTAGAGTTGTCTTGCAAGCGCTAAAATTTCCTACGTTTGTCATGTGACTCTTAGCAACATTTCCTGGAATTGTCATGTCTTGCACACCAAATAAGCGAAAATTGCCATGTAAAACAAGTTTTTTTGCCTTGTGAAACATTACCATAATGTGTAAATTTTGTGATAGCGGCTAAGGTGTCCCGCCTTCCGAGCAGATGGTGGCTATAGTTTTTGGAGTAGACTTTGACGATCCGAGTACGATCGTGCGAGGACGTCGCGCCTTAGCAATCGCTAAACCAACTTCAAGAGGTTATTGACCACGCCAGAGCACAATCAATCTGATCAACTCCGAGAGGTGTCCCGCCTTCCGAGCAGATGGTGGCTATAGTTTTTGGTAGAGTAGACTGACGATCCGAGTACGATCGCGCGAGGACGTCGCGCCTTAGCAATCACTAAACCAACTCCGAGAGGTTATTGATCACGCCAGAGCACAATCAACCTGATCACGAGGGTCTGTTTCCTGCACGCAAACGAAGAACAAACAAGAAACTAGAATTGCAATCTGGATATTGCGAATATAAATGAACACTTTATTAATGAAGGTGGGGTTTTGTGACGTCTTTGTTTGGTCGTTGAACACAAACAAAGTACGCGAAGTTGCAGCTATGGTGAACTTTTAATCTAAACAAAACCCAAAGTCCAAACGATGCACTAAGTGTTGTATATATGGAGGAATAGGGGGAATTTCATGACCCCTTGGAGGAGGGGTCCGAAACCAACCCTAACTCCGTTTCCCCATGCATACGGACTCTAATAATAGCCTATAGTGAAGTATTTTAAAATTACATGGGCATGTCCCAATAATAAGGTGACACAACACCTATAATAGCCTTTGGATGAAATTTATGAAATGACATCTTGTATATTTTGTCCAATCCTTCATGCACTCATTATGGTGGCTTCAAAGTCCTGAAATCATCACTTGAAACTCCATTCTTGTTCCCCTTGCGCATGCCATTATCTCCATGCTTGATCTTGCTCCAATGTTCATCCTTCTTGTCCAAGCTAGGCCCTTCATTTGTAAACAAAACAAATGTATCCAATTTAGCCAGCATCATATTCTCACGAACATTAGAACTGTTATCAAGAAATGAAAGTACCCGGTAATTTAATTGGCGTGCGCGAGCTTTAGTAATTGGTCTGGTATGTATAGTGAGTGTAACGATGGTATTGATGTCTCCATCAATTTGTCATGTGACATGCTTTCGAATTTCATCAACTTTGCCAGGTAGACATTACAGAAACCTATGGACTTCCCATGTACCTAGCACAAAAATACCATGGCATGTAGAAAAACCCACAGAGAATTTGCCATGAGAATAGTAATGTTTACTTGTAATCACAGAAGGAATTTGCCATGGCAAAATGTTTTCACACACACACACACACACACACACGCACGCACACGCGCACGCGCGCGCGCACACACACACACACACCGTGTATGGAGGAGGGCAAGTGAGATGGAAGGACACTCACTGTCGCAGTTGTGGTAGGCCTCACACCGACGAACTAGCCGGTGATGCTCAATCGGCGTGCACACCACACAACGGTGTCTTGTGCTCCTTCGTGAGGAAGGAAACCACATCAGGGAGAGGGAAGAAGAGCGAATCGTCGAAACCAAACCAAGGGCAAGCGCGGGGCAGCCACATAGAGAGGAGAAGAAAGGCAAGAGAGGGAAAGGGGACCTTGACGTCGACTCCTAGATTTCTTTGATCTCGTGCATTTGCAACGTGGTGCTTGTAATTTTCCCAAGAGGTTGCTATGGCTTGGAGGCTCATCAGGTCTAACGGACTTTCGTCCTTCTGCTATGGCTTGGAGGCTCATCAGGTCTAACGGACTTTCGTCCTTCGACTCCTATAGGCGGCTTTCGCTATCGCTCCTGACTTAGTATAGAAACCGGTATAAAAGACAAGTGCCCATCCTCAACTCCAAGAAATGGGAGTGAAATTCATTCCATTCCGTATAAGTAAGTTGATATGATAGGCTTTTCGGCACCATCCTATGAAAGGCTCTCACCTAGCAGGCCTCTTTGACCCATGGCGTTGGCAGAGGAGCACGGACCAGGAACCGCACATTCGTGTCGTCGTCGACCAACGTGGCGGTATTTTCAGGGTCGTCGCCGCCACCGAATAGGTCCTCCTTGCCGTCGTCGACTTCCAGGCCAACATTCTCAATGAAGTTCGACAACTGAGTTGGAAGTGGGGGGTTAGGACGCTAGGGGGGCGGCAAAAGTACTGACCTCATTGTCAATAGGCAAGAAAGAAAACATTTCAAAGATATAAATCTATTTTTTGAAAATATAAAGGTTTTGGGGGTCTGCTAGATGAGCTAAATTCCCCAAACCAAAAACATTCCCCCATTTATTATAGTCATAAGCACGGGTCTGCTTCATTTCTCTGAAATCGAAGAGCAATCCATAACCATCCATGGGACGTCATTACAGCCATTACTCATAATACAGACCAACAGAAGTTGTTGGCTAACTAAACAGCTGATCATATTCCTTCAGGATGAGAGCAAACCAAAACGGTATGAACCTACAAGGAAATAGGAACAAGTTCCAATTCACAGGTTATAGAATCCAAATAAGACACTTCTGGATTTGACAGACAGCAATAGCAAAGCTGCAGATTATAGCAGATAGACTGAGCAGAACAAGCACAAAGATAACCCACGACATGAGCAATCGCACACAAGCAGCTAGTAGTTCCCAATTCTCAAACTCATAAACCATTACCCGTTACAACATTTGTTGAGTCTAGGGAGAAATTCAACTGCCATGACACATGTGTCTTATGGATTACACAAGTCACAAATATAAGAAGACGACATAATGGCAGCATGATTTAACATAACAGTCTTGCAAAATATAGCTGAAAAAACACAAAGACCTAGTAGACAAGACACCATCACCAGTCCAAGCCTCTGAAAAACTGTGTCGCAGAGGCCCATCACACTGAAAGGTCTTGATAAATCATATGAGAAGCTTCTCGATAGCATCCTGTGATTCACAAAATTTAAAACAGGGTCAATTTTCGGAGAAAGGGTACACACTAGGGTAAAACAATCAGGCAGTTGTATAGAAAATCAGCAGACATCAGAAGATGTGGCAAGGGATCACCTTAAGACTCTGAATGGGCTGTTTCAGCTGGCTACCCTCGTTGCTGGTCACTGAACAAGCAATGACCGGCCTGGTAACTCCACAAGCACGCCCAAGGGCTTGCTTTGAAGGGACAAAGACATATGGCACATTCTGCATCATACAACAGATGAGCTCAATAAGTTTTACTTTCATCCATTGTCACAAACACAAATAAACATTATTCATTCATGTGCAAAAGCAAAAGGAAGATGCAAAAGATTAAGTAGCAAACGGTTAAATCATGGGATGAAACATATACAACACATAAATGTCAAGATTAATGAACAACAGCAAATCAGCTCCACTGCGATGAGATTTGCAAGGCTGAGTATCAAACTATCAACAGATACACTGAACTCTGCTTCAATGTGATGAAGTACCAATGTAACAGGATGCAACAACTCACTAAAGAAACAAAATTGAAGTACTGATGTTAAAAAACACTGATTTTTCACATAAAGCCCTAGAATTTTTCCAGTAGCTGTGTGCTGATACAAACAGTTAAGAGCGGGTCCACATACACTGTTCTTAAAACTGCTCGCATGAGCAAGCCTCTTGTCTGAGTAGGCATACTCAAACTTCCAATCCTAGCGGATTGGTAACCATACAGTATACAGTATTACTAGCACATCATGTATTCTGATAACCATCAACACAGCACAGTATTACGAGCTTTATTAAACTAAAAAAACATTACACGGTCTCGCTATAACCACATCACGCAAGCTACATCATACAAATTTACAGCAATAAGATGCAGCATAAGCACAGAATTTATACCTTGTCCTCCGCAAGCAACGGGAGGTGGAGGAGGATTTCGAGCGGCTCCGTGTCAGCTGCCATCACCACGAACTCCGATATTCCCCTGTTGAGAGTCTTGGTCGCTGGGGAAAACAAAAAACACACAAATTCAGATCACGGGGATTGAAATCAACAGTTAACAACTAAGGCGCACCGCCAGGGATTGGTCACCTTCGTTGGCGCCCTTCTTGAGCTGCTTGTAGTTGGCGGCCTGCTGGACGAGGTCGAGGATCGTTATCGTCAGCTGCGAGTCCGCCAGCGGGTAGGCCTTGGGGTTGACCGTCTCCTGACTCTGCAAAGCACCCCCAAAGAAACAACAACCGGCGGTCAGCACGCGCGCGGCGGGGCTCGGCTCGATCCGCGACGGCGGAACGGGCGGAGACGAGGTACGGAATCGGGAGGAGGAGGAGGAGAGGGCTCGTTACCATTTTCCCGACGGGTTGGTCGGCTTGGAGGCGCGAGGAGGAGGAGGGGGAGGAGGCGGCCGCCGCGGGTGGGGAGGGAGCTTGGAGCTAGGGCTTTCGGGGGCGGGTGAATGGAGCTAGGGTTTATCGCGGGCCTGTGGTGGCCTCATATAGCCCGTGGGGCGGGTGGTTTCGACGGCTGCGATTGTCTTCGTGATTCTTCGTTTCCCCTTTTGCGTGTTCTGGTCTTCGCTCCTTTTCCTTGGCTGCCAAGGGCCGTCAATGAACGTCCAGCCCTTTGTCGCGCCGCCATCGTGGTTGATATTTTGAGTCCGTTCGGCTTTTTTCTACGCGAGGAATCTCTTTTTTTTTCCTTAGAGAAAAGAAAGCCAGAGTGCATCTTATTATCTGATTATTTGTCAGGAAAAAGCAATAATCAATATGATGTCGTTATAATTAAAATGGGCTTGGCCCATGTGCTTTTTCAGAAATTCTCAACTGAATCTCAAAGAGTCATGAAAAAAAATGACAAGAAGTCGCTCAAATATCAGGTCATATTAGGTAATTCCCCCCGGAGTTTGCCTCAAAAAGGAAAAAGGTAATTGCCCCGGGGCGTGACTATGTCTCTCTGGTAACGAGACACGGTGCAACCTCGCGCGTCAAGTAGCCCAGAATGAGCCGGCCTGGTGGGGACCGCAAGCATTGAGCGTTTTCTTTCTTTTTTCTTTTACATTTTTGAGTTTTTTTTACCTTTTCATATACTTCAAATATTAAACAAATGAATATTATAAAATTCACTTTACATACAGATTTGAAAAATGTTGAACATGCACTAAAAATTTTAAATGTGCATACAAAAATATTGTTAATATATACAAATATATATATATATATATATGAAATGTACAGTGTGTGTGAGAAATATACAAAAAGTATACATTTACAAAATGTTAATCATGTATTTAAAAAATATTAAGTGTGTATATAAAAATGTTGCTGGTGTAAACAAAAATATGTAAATATTAAATATGTGTATAAAAATGTTCCTGATGTATATAGAAAATGTAGAATGTGTATTAAAAAAGTTGACACAAAAATATATGTTAATCATGTATTTTTTCAAAATGTTCAACATGGACACAAAAAATTGTTAGATGTATTCGAATAAATGTTAAATAGGTATAAAAAATATTCCTATTCTCTATGGAAAGGGAAAGGAAAAACTGATGAAAACAAAAAAGGAAACAAAGAAAAACTGAAAAAGAAGCAGAAAATAAAAATTAAACCGAAGAAAACCAGTGCAGCACAATGAAAAAACAGTGAAACATGAGGAAAACCAATTAGAACTAAGAAAGAAACAAAGAGAAAAAGAAAAGCAAAACAACCAGCGAGAACCGAGAAAGAAACAAAGAACAACAAAGAAAAATGAAAGAAAAGGAAAACCAGTGAAGACCATGAAAAGAAATGAAGAAAATTGGTAAAAAGGAAAGAAAAACAAAAAAACTGAAGAAAATCAGTGTAGAAACATACAAAACCTAAAGAAACAAACTGAATAAAACAACAAAACAAGAAAAAAAACAAAAAACCACACAAAACGGAACAAAACCACCACGACAGCCAAAATACTATCATGTGCAAGCGTCGAGTGAACAAAAAACAGACAAATCGGCCGGTCCAACAACTATGCGAGGGGGAAAAAGCTACTACACGAGACGAGAGCTATCTCTCGCGAATTGCACGTGCATTGCTATGGTGACCGTGCAAATAAATGAAACAAACAATCATGTTTTAGTAATTTTATCGACCAACCAATAAGAAACTATTTGATATTACAATATAGCAATTTTTTCCTTCGCCCGAAGGTCCAAAGGAAGAAAGATTATGGTCACGTCCATCTTGACATAGTTAATCCACAGACAATAGCATCATATGGAATATTATTTCTTTCTTCACTGAAATACAGTATCAAAAGTATGTAATTGATGCGAACCAACCTGTTGTTGGATGGTTAGAGGGACTGTGGTATCCCAGCCCACCAGGGTTCAAATCCTGGTGCTCGCATTTATTTCTGGATTTATTTCAGAATTTTCGACGATGCGCATTCAGTGGGAGGAGACGTTCCCGTCGACGACGAGGCGCCTACGGCGACTTCATAAATCTCAAGATGATATGCCGGCTCAGTCTTTCGAAGTTGCTCGTAGGGGTAGGGTGTGTGTGTTCATAGGGATGAGTGTACGCACGTGTATATGAACGCTTGTGTCTGTACTGATGTTCAAGAAAAAGTATGTAATTGATATTATGAAATAGCTTACACATAAATTTGAAGAAAAGTAGGAACATGTTATTACTCCGTAAAGCTCGGCGCCATGTCACAACCTCGAGTTCTGTTAAGCATAATATCGGCTACACATTTTGTTTCAAAAATACAAACTAAGTACTAATACAAATTGCTACACATAGGACACAACAATATATCAAGATCATAAAAATGCACTGGCGATAATGGGTGCACTTGATTAATCCAACGGCAAAAAACTCTTCAAACCTACTTGAGTTTTCCCACAGAGTATCTTGATTCGAGCGGGATTCCAAGAAAATCATGCATTGACATAGATACATTCGTCATAGCTCCTTTCACGCAGGCACATTCAAGACATCAGTCACGTTGTAGCTCTAGCTTTTCCACGACATCGAGCGTCCACTAGTATCGCCATCGGCCGCTAGGCTGTCCGTAGTGAGAGTATCATAACTAGTATCATAAATGACCGCTAGACAATTTTGATGAGGTGACATAGAATTGAATGAAGAAAAAAAAGTTGATTATTATATCATGAGAATGTATCATAATAAATACTCGGTAATAGTTGAGTATATAGGTGGAAAAATGTTTCCGGATATATTAAATTAATAGTAAAGGGCTCTAGTAATTGTTGGGAGGGTTTTGTGTTTAATTTAATGTCAACGGCCTTAAAAGGCCAAGTGGTAGAAGGTGAAGTGGGCCACATGGGCCCAATATAGATGGCACCCCTCTCCACATGTGCAACTAGGGCCCATCTGCTTCCTTTTGGCCCATAAAAAATTATCGTAAAGTTTCGTGCCATTTGGATTCCGTTTGATATTGATTTCATGCGATGGAAAAAATATGAAAAAACAGGAACTGGCACTAAGCACTATGTCAATAGATTAGTACCAAAAAATGATATAAAATGATTAAACATTCAAGATTGATAATAAAATAACATGGAACAATCAAAAAATTTAGATACGTTGAAGACGTATCAATACATCACAACATTGTCGACCAAGCACTTGGCCGCCGATGTCTTTTGTCACAGCTCCTTTCACACAAGCACATTCATGACGTCAGTCACGTTGTAGCTCTAGGTTGTCCATGACATCGATCATTTGCTAGTATCGCCATCGGCCGCTAGGCTACATACTGGGAGTATCATAACTAGTATCATGCATGACAACTAGACAATTTTGATGAGGTGGCATATAATTGAATGAAGAAAAAGAAAGTTGATTATTATATCATGATAATTTATTATAACAAATACTCGGTAATAGTTGAGTATATAGGTGGCAAATGTTTTCAGATATATTAAATTAATAATAAAAGTCTCTGGTAATTGTTGGGAGGCTTTTGTGATTAATTTAATGTCAATGGCCTTAAAAGGCCAAGTGGGCCACATGTGCCCAATATATGTGGCGCCCCTCTCCGCATGAAAAGGAGAGAGGGAGGCCAAATTGGAGGGGAAACCCCCTTCCTCTTGGCCAGCAGAGGAGGGAAATTCCCCTCCCCTTGTGAAGCCCTCTCCCCCTCCAACCTATATATAATAGATGTTTTGGGCACTTTTGAACACGTAAGTTTTTTAGCCTCCTCTAGTTCTAGTTCTAATCGGTCTTAGTTGATCAATTAGAGTTTAACCTAGATCCCTCAATCCTCATAATTAGAAGCCCAGTGTGCTTCTAATCTCCTCCTGCCGGTGTCGTGACAAGATGCGTCACACACCCACTGTGCGCCTCTGCGTGCCATCATCCTTCCTGATGGTATGCGGATCTTCATGAAGAATATCAACAAGGAGATATATCAAGCACGCCTTGGGATCGGTGGTGGCATGCAAATCTTTGTATAATAGGGATTGGATCCTCCTCCACCGTCCACCAGATCAACAGGTACCCAACCAAGACGTTCGTCGACGATGGATAGCCAAGACCTGGGAACGACCTCGCCCGACAACAGTTGTCCACAGTTGGCGCACACTCGACTAGCCTTCGATAGCAAGTTATCTATTCACCTACGTGTGGCGTAGTGTTTCTGCGCTCGCAGAGCTCTCGCGCCATGCGGCCGATAGACAGTGTGATAGCGTTGCTTATTAGGGATGATAGACTACTCATATCAATAAGGAATTCCTTCTTTTTCGGAAGCTCATTCGGACAAAACTCCAAAGTTAAGCGTGCTCAGCTTGGAGTAATTTCAGGATGGGTGACCGACCGGGAAGTTGCTCCCGGGTGCGCACGAGTGAGGACAAAGTGCACAGAAAAGACTAGTATTGATCTGTGGAGCCAGTCTAGATCCCGGCAGGAGTAACGGCCACCGGCGAGTGTGTCCGGAGTGTTACAAGTTGGTATCAGAGCTGACCCTCGCGGTTACACGGATGTTTGCGGACAACTTTTCCGTGAGCTCATTCGGACAGAACTCCAAAGTTAAGCGTGCTCAGCTTGGAGTAATTTCAGGATGAGCGACCGACCAGGAAGTTGCTCCCGGGTGCGCACAAGTGATGACAAAGTGCATAGAAAAATACTAGTATTGATCTATAGGGCCAGTCTAGATCCCACCAGGAGTAACGACCACCGGCGGGTGTGTCCGGGGCGTTACCGACATGCATGCCAGACAGTGGACATGACACAAGGGGTGACTCACTCACCCATGCCGTCGCGTGGTGCACACCTGTTCTGAGATGTTTCATGCCTCGGCAGGCGGCACCTAAGTCGGTTTTGACAAGACAGGGTCTGTTCCC